TTCAGCAGGCAAAACTTTGTCTTCATTTTGTAACACAGCACTCATTTTCCTTACTTTATTCTGCTTTGTAAATATCTTTGTTAGTTGAAGACAATGCTGTTAGCTTTCACTGAGAATAAAACTGGAGAGATAAAAAGAGCCCATTTTCCTCCACCGTGGGCACAACAATAAAAGAGAAGATGGAGAGAGGAAAATAAGGAACAGCATTGAAAAAAGAAAAATTGTATAAGCAGGATTAGTTTTTCTTTCATGGACAGTATAGGAAAGCATTTTCAGGACCTGCTGATAGCTATGTATACTGCGCTGTAAAATCCCTTCAGCTGCAAAGCCAACCCTCTCGTACCCTTTTTTCACAAAACCAACTGCTTCTTTTTAAGAAAGGGCAAAGATGGTGGGATACAAGTTTAGTAAATGCTGTACTACACATGAAAGAATCGCTTTTTGAATGGCGGTTTCTGAAGCACTTTCAGCAACACCAGTCTGCACCCCAAGAAAAGCCTCCTGCAACCGAATTGGTTCAGCCTTACAAAGCAAATGGACATGCAGTGGAGGCAGGCAACTAAAGAGGGGTTTTTGGATAAACTAACTTCCCAGGAAAGCAGCAGGGCAGGGAGGGAGGGACATAAAAGGAGAGGCAATCCATCTAGGGAAAAGCAGTTAACTTATTTTATAGCACTTATATTTTCCAAACACCATGTTAAGTATTTAATTATGTTATCACCCCATAGGTGGAGAGATGTGGCACATCCACCCATTCATTTTAGTGATAGCCAAACTGAATTAAAAGGGCTGCTTGCTGATTCTTAGTAACTAGAAGCCAAGCCTAGGTCATACTACTTTGGGGCTTTTCTCACAAGCTTCGGAGATGCTGCTGAAATCCAGCAGAGACCTGATTTGCAGTGTGAAGCATTGGGTCTGTTTCAGAGCTGCCGGCACAGCACACGTGGCTTCTCCCAGTGCATGTAGCTTATATGGCTGTTCTGGGTCTAGTGCAAATCAATCTAAATGTCTCTTCAGACATGGTACTTTTGTATTAGTTGAACAGAAGGCAAAAATACACTGTCACCAGCACATGGGAAACGTTGATCAATGTTTGTACAGGGAGTGATTTATTTATTATGTTGTTATCTATAAGGAAGCACACACATCATGTGAAGTTATCATATAGCTCTGTCCATGTTGGCCTGATTTTCCCAGTGATGTTTTGTTTTATTTCGTGCCTCATCTTGTGAAGTGCACATCAGAAGTACAGTTAGATTTCCACATGTCAGTGCTCCTTTGGGCAATTTATTACTTGCATGGCATGGCAAAGGGGGACGTAAAAGAAACCATGCATGAGCATTTAAAGCACTCTTCAGATGTCCTTTTAAACCCTTTCATAAGTTGTGGTCTGGCTGCATCAAGTCTGACTTTGTTCTTTTTTAGCTGCAGTCAAAGTGCATGCTGCCCAGCAGCAGCCCAGGGTCTGGAGTGTGCCTTCTGCAGGAATAACCCTGGGTTCAGCAAAAGATGAACCTCACTGGCATTTTAAATGACGGTTTGCTTGTTTCTGAGCAGATCTGCGCCTCACCTCAGGCCCTTCAAAAAGAAAGGTCCTCTGACCCTAGTAATCAGACCCTAATTCAGTAGAGGGAAGAGAATTTAAGTCCTTCATAAATAAATAAATGCTACTTCTTGTTTCTGTGTGGCACATAATACAGTGCTACAGGAGCAGTTGAAAGCCAATGGAAATTCTTGCTGCTGCCATGCAGACGTCCCTTCCTTGGGTCAGCTCTGACCCTTTCTCATGCTTGATCTCAATTCTGTTTCCAACTGAGATTCAGTTCTGTATGCAGCTGTGGCTCTGGGACTTTCCAAACCCGCTGTCTGGTAACCTGGCATAGCAGCAGAATGCAATTCACTGCATGTGACCTCTTGCTAAAACAGAAAAAAGCATTGCCTATCTGTTAAAGGAGTAAAAACCAAACCAAAACAGAGCGGTACAACTCTCCCAGTTTTCTTTTAGTGCTTGGCAGGAGGAGGGTAATCAGATCTCAGAGAATGGTGTGCCAGGAAGGAAATTTCTTCCCATGCGTAGCATACAATCAGCCAGGTGCAATATGAGGAAGGGAGGTTCGTCTTCCTCTGAAGCGTAAGGTATTAGCTCCTGCCAGAGGCTGTGTACCAGAGATCTGATCAGATACGGCAAATTTTATGTTCCTATGCACAGTATGAAGCTTTCATTTCTACGCAACACATTGTAGCAAGTCAAACAATGAGTCATCTCACAAGGGGGAAAAGGAAAGAAAGCTTTTATCTCCCAGTGGATTGGAGATAATCTCCCTACCTGGGTATAAACAACCCTTCACCGTGCTGCCTTCTCTCCCAGGGAAGAAAGCTATTTTAAATTTGTCTGTAAAACAGATATTGAATTGTCACACCTCCCAAGCCTCTCTGCCTGAGCCCAATAAAGGTAGCAGGCAAAAGGTCTTTGACTTTCATGGTAACTTGGTTGGGCCCCTGTGAGTAAACACAGTAGTCTAGGCTGTATATGCTGTACAAACTGGCTGGGAGAAAGGGTGTGCCAGATTCTCCTTAAAGCCCTGAAAAATCTGCCCAAAATGAACATACTTGCTATTTTACTGTAAAATGTCATGCCACCCTTATATAGACAGTTACGTTGGTAAAATTTTATTGCTCTACAGGAAACACAAGCTAAAGCAGTGCTCAAGGTGCCACAGCCTCAGCAATTATTTTCCTCTCCAGTGTGGGAATAGCATCTACTAGCATAACAGCATCTGCAGGAGGGGTGGGCCAGTCCGAATACACCTTTCTCAACCATATCTGCACTGATAACCAAGGCACACTATTACAGAGGCTGTGTGAAGCGGCCCTTCTTTACACACCTCAGCTACCTAGAGGGAAGTATCACCATAGCTGTCTTGCATCTGACTGCTTTTCCTTATTCTTGATCAATGACAAGGGGTATGAAGAGAGCGCATGCCTCATTTCTGTGAAAGGATACGCACCGAGGATGGATGGGGCCAAGGACTTTAACTCCTGCCTGCTTTGCACCTCAGAAGGAGCAGCTGGAGGAAAATCCCATTTCACAGTGGAAACCTGGAATGAAATAACGTCCTTGAAGCTTTTTTCAGGATGCTCAGGCAGTTCTTGTTTCTCAACATGTCACAGATAAACCAAGGTGCCTAAACTAGTGAAGTATTTCACAGTCCAGTACTTACAGTAATTCTGTGTCAATGTGACATTCCTGTCCTACACCTTCCCCTGAGACTTTGCACATTATGGTGTGGGGAGAAAGGAGGATATTTGCCTATATTCCCGTGATTCCATGATTCACTGATGTTTGCCTTGTCTCAATTTGGTAACACGATCATGGTCTCTTCCTGCCACAGGTTTGCAGCCCGTTTACTGGAGCAGGGATGATGTGGCACAATGGCTCAGGTGGGCAGAGAAGGAGTTTTCCTTGAGGCCAATTGAGAGCAACACTTTTGAGATGAACGGCAAGGCTCTGCTGCTCCTGACCAAAGAGGACTTTCGATACAGGTCTCCTCATTCAGGTGAGGATTACTTACAGAAGCTGTGATTGAAAAGAGAGAGAAAGCTGCAATGAAATCTGGAGAGGGTCAGAGAAGGAAACAGCCACATTGGTTGGGGTGGACTGGGCAAGGGGAGGAGAGGGAGGACAGAGCCACTTGTATAAGGCAAGGACAAAAAGGACAAGGAGGGAGTGAAATCCTGATACACCTGAGCTGTAGGCAAATTTGAATGCAAATCCAAACCTAAACCAAATCATCCAACCTGTTTCTAGTTAAAACTCCCTGCAGAAGTCCCAGAAAGCAAGCTTCTCTGGCAGCACTTTGTGACTTCCAGCTCTTCCTTGTAAAGGCTTATCTTTTCACAGACCCAACTACAGCAGCAAGTTAATCAAGTGCTCTAGCCTCTTAAGAAGCCATATTAGCATTCTGCCTTACAGTTGGCTTGGCTGACGTGCTGCTAAAAGTGACTGCAAAACTCCTCCCTGGGGGATCTTTCCTCTATTTTACAACCCCTATGGGCTTTGCTTTACTTTACCTCACGTGCTGGAGTCCAGCCCAAGGCACAGCATAGACAGGTGTGGGAATCAGTCTGCCTATTGCTCAAATTATGTCTTCATTTATTCACAAAAAAGTTTTAGAAATGTGTATGTTGCCTGCCTGTGTTTATATCCCCTGCGGTCTGTCTGCTCCAGTTTTACAGTCAGAGTAAGCTTCTGTCCTCCTTTGTCAGGGATGTTTAACTAAATATGAGTTATTGGTTCTAAATAAGAGTTGTGAGCTTTTCTTTTGTGACCATAGAAAGTACTCCTGTTAAAGTCACATAATTCAATCACCATAGGTGATCAAGGAGTTTGGACCAAGTGGTGACAGAATTGCTGTTAGGAGGTTTCCAGTGCAAAGCTCACTAGGTGCAGAAGTACAGCTGGTGCTGCTTAGACCCTGCTGATAAACAATCCATGGCACTAATTCTGCATCATGCAGCTTGGTGAGCCCCTTGAATGCACCCCCACAATCATCCTTCTGCAGAATCTGCCTCACAAACTGTGGCTTACATTTAGTGTATACAAAGTTTTTCAAGCATGTGCTTCAAATCCAGGGCTAATTTTGTATGGAAGGAGGTGCCAAACATTAACGTCTATTGCCAGTGTAATGCAGTAGTGAAAACTGATGCCTCAAAACATCTTTTTTTTTATTTATTCCGGTACACCACTTTAAATCATTTCATTAGAAAATTAGCCCTCCTTAAGGCAAAAGGAGTATTGAAATTGGGATCTGGGCAAGGACTGTAAGGGACATCTTTTTGTGTCTTGTCTGCAACTCCCTTTATCATCCCAATGCCTTGCTGCCTACAAGTTATGCCCCTGCTCTTCCCCTTGTGTGCTGTGCGGGCGGTTGAAATGAGTAGGATTAACGGAGATAGAGTGTTCCCAGAGAGAAGCCTCTGGCTTACAAATTCTCACTGTATGCAGAAGGTTAAGTTCTTATTTACCTAAATGGAAGCTCCTATTTACCTTTGGAATGGAATAACCAAACTAAAGGCTTCCTCTCTAGCTTTTTCTCTCCTCCTTTTCACCAGGTATTCCTCACTGATACAAACCTTTTAGAGGATATCTGAGTCAGTCCCTAAAATTTAGATTAGGTAAAGGGACATTACCTCAACATTTCCCGGAAATTAACTATACGTGAAATTTAAGAACCATGAAATAATGTTTGCCACAGAGGCATTATGTTTTTCAAGAGTATAGGTACATAAAGGCTGTATCCTTTCCCTCATGGTTAAAGCAGGAGAACCACATCCACTCCCCCCAGTGGTCCTAGCAATAAAGTGGGCTCACAGCCCCACAGCTATTCTTCTATTTAGGGCTGGCCCGCAAAGGGAGGCAGGAGAGGAGGGAGGGAGTGAAAAACGCTTTTCACCTTCTTAACTAGCATTACTGCATCTGGGTGGTGCAGAAGCATAACTGTTTTGTTAGGTAAAAAAAAGACAGCCAGCTTTATGGACGTTTTCACTAGTCTGTCAGGCCAAATCAAAGGAGGTACAAATTTGCTACCTTATTGCTTAGAGTGTTACAACACTAGTAACATTAGATTATGCCACAATTGCATTCAAACATGCAAATCATGTGGTAAAATCACTTTTTAGCTTTTCATGTACTAAACATGGAAAAGGTAACTGGGTTCTCGAGGCTTTGTTTTTAATTAGATTTTCAGGTATTGCAATCACCTTTTAAAAATGCCCTAAAGTCACTGCTGAGACAGTGAAAGCAGCCAAGATGCTAAAAATAAAGGAAGCTGAACTATGGAAAGGGGGATGGCTTTAACTATTTTGTGCTAAGACACTAAACTTTCCCACAAATAGAGCATTGGCAGTTTAAAGAGACCAGGGACAAATGGCCCAAAGCTTACAATCTCATACAAACAACTACTGAAAAAAACCCCACACTTGAGAAAACTCTCCCAGAAAATCCAAGGTTTCCAAAGTGAAACTTCACTAAATTTGTTTTTAGGTAATAAGTTATTGCTGCAACCTGTTTCTCTGTAATATGAGCAGCGACAAAAAGAAGACAGCAAGCAGAATTAAAAGTCAAGAGACTTCCTACACTGTGTTGTACATTTTCACTTTGAAATGTGCAACCGTTAAATGAGACAAAATGTGTAAGCACCTAGGTGTTTCATGTAGATGTTGTTGGAGGAGGGGCATCAGTAGCAGATGCAATACATAAAAAGACTCCAAATAAACAGTCCATTGGTCTTGTAGATATTGCAGTGATATGTCCCACTGAGGAAAGATATAACAATTCTGGTGCCAGGGAATCAGGGCGGGGGCAGGGGGGCACAAGGAATAGCCTGCCTTTACCCCAAAAAGAAACAAGCATCTGGATCAATTCATGCAAGAACATGTCAGCTTGGTGCAGTGCAATTCGCTGCAGACATTTCTGCCCATACAGAGCACCAAGTCCACTGCGTTTTGTTCCTCAGTCTGCATCATGTCTATGGTCTAATACTGCCTGTTTCAGTGAGCTCCATGCAGATTCTAGTGGCTAGAAATAACTAGCTTTGGGATCCCATTTGGGCTTTTCAGGAGTCCAACCCATGACACCAAAAGTGACATACAAAAGTTCCTAAGCACTCGAGTGTCTCCAGGACACCACAGCAAAGGTATTCAGGATAGTTAAATCTCTCAATTCTTTTCCAATCTTTGAGTCCATCCCCAAGTGAGAGTTCTTCCTCCTGTGGATTTGCTAGAATGATGTATCTTAGTAGCACACCACCCCTGGCCTTGAGGCACCGGTGTTGCACGGAGAGGCTTTACAACAGCTTCTTCTATCTCCCCCCATAAAGCCTAAATTGTTCAGTAATTAAAGAAGAGCACCATCATTGCTCCCAGAAACTCACTGCATAAATCATGGGCTCTACATTTAAGAATTCTGTGTCCGAAGGTGTCTGTCTAAAAAACTGAGGCTGTGGTGAATGAAGGTACAACCCTGAACTAACTACTGCTTGTAAAAGGGTTGGAGCTCTTGCATGGGCAGTCATGTAGCCTGAAAAAAACTCTGTACTAGGGTAATAAAAGCTATGTCTTGTCATTCTCCCATTTTTTCACAGTCACACACAGAAGCGTGATGCGCAGCTTTTCTTTTTCTTTTTTTCCTTTCAGGGAAGAACGTTGCAAAACAGTGAAATGTAGGATTTTACTGCAAGCATTTTGGGGTCTGAAAATAGCACCCAGGAGCCAGGAATTCATGCATCAGATGGCTAAATGAGTCTTCTCAGCAGTATGTAGGTTTTCATTTCCTTTCTCCTGCTATTTGTCTTTCAGGTGATGTTTTGTATGAACTCCTTCAGCATATCCTGAAGCAAAGGAAAGCTCGTATGCTCTTCACACCTTTCTTCCACCCTGGGAACTCTATCCATGCTCAGCCAGAGGTCATATTACACCAGAATCATGAGGAAGGTAACTCTATCTCATTCTTATGGGAGCTGCTATTACAGAGGCAAGTAGAGTAAGACCGTGAGGAATTATGTCATTTTCTTGCTCCAAAGTTACTTAAATAAAGCTACTCTCCTCCCTCTATCTCCATACCTTTAGAACAATCAACTGGTCTGGGGAGTCAACTGTCCATTCTCCATTTATCTTCTATTACTTTGTCCTGTTTCCAAAACCTGCTTAAAAGTTATGCCAGATGCAGATTAAAAAAATGCCAGAAAGTTTTATTGACCCCATTGATTAATTTTTCCTCACTCCCAATTCGGTAGACAAAGATGCTTCGTGGACTTTTAGTATCCTGGAGATGCAACTAGGTGCAGTTGTTTGCAGGGCAAGAGAGAAGGCATCCTTGGAGAGGAACGTCTAACTCAAAGTCACTTCAACTGACAATCTGTTATCACATCATGCCAGAGTTCCTAGCACTGAGCCCATCTTGTTGCTCAGCTTTTGAGCTGATTGAGCAATTCATGTTGAGAGAAGGTTTTTTTCTGCAGGTTTTCTCTCATTTTGACTATCAGATTTAGTGCTTAGGTTATTAGTTACCCTTCGAGTACTGTCCACATGTATCATGGTTGTCAGACGTAGTGAAGAAAGAATAGATGTGTTTGTGGAATTGCAGATTTGGGGTTATTTTACTCATTATTAGTACAGATCAAAATGTAAGTATGTTTCCTTCAATGGAAAATTGAGGATTTATTTTCTTTAAAAATATACACACTAAAGTACTTTGTTTTCTCAAATAGCAGAAAAATATAAAGCCTAAACGTTTTAAAAGGTCCTTTCCATGAAAGCATCAGGCAGAATTCACTTTTTAATTTAAAAAAATCAAGGAAAAAGTAGTGTTATTCCTTTTTTAAGTAGCGAGGAGAAGCGAACAGAAGTGAGTTAGGATATCGCCCTAGTCTCTGCTAACTAAGATGCAAAAATCATCTCAAGATTCGACATGGGATTGCAAGAGAAGATTCAGGGGTGCTGTCAGATCTGTTCAAGTTGCCCACGGCCAGTTTGAGCAAGCCAGAATGAAATGGCACCAGCAAAATTCTGAGACTAAGCCAAGAGCAGGACAGCAGCAGGTGGGATAAGGACACTCCAAAGTGTTGCCACACAGCTGTGTAAATATTTCAGATTAGAAGAGGGTGCTACAGGTCAGGATGAGGTTGAATTGGCAGAGTTGTGCAAGAGACAGTCACATCCTGTATTAAGATAGGCACTTTCCAGAGACCATTATAAAAATCTCAACTTTTTCCTGAAGCTTGGCATTGACCCACAAATATCCCCTTTCTAAATTTCAAACATAAATAGTAGGTACCCTCTCAGACACCCCTGTATTAAAGATACAGAGCAACTTTTACTCTAGAGAGGTTTTCACACGGATGTTGAGTTGGCCTTTCAGGTGCATCACTTAAAATGTAAATCCTTTGCAATGTAGTCCAACTTCTGTCAAAGCACAGGATGATTAAGAAACAACTTGCTTTCTTCCTCACAGTACTCTGGCCACTGATAGTACCACTGTATTTGCTTAGAGAACTCTGCTATTACTTAAAACTTTTCTTCATAATGACAAAAATCAGTTCTTGTTTTGCTGGGAGAAGAACTTCAAAACAAGTAAAAGAAACTACATGTTGCCTGCCACAAAATTCTGAGCAATCAAAAAATCTCTATGCCAAGAATTTAAAAGCAGGTGAATTTATTTATGTATTTTGACATTCCTTCTTCCTGTTTCAAAGAATCACTTGGGAGAAACTAGCAGAATTAAGTTTACCATTTTCCCTCAGCAGAATGCAACTTAGCAAAAAAAGGAGAATGAATGTGAGAAGCAGAACTTAACCCTGCCTAACTCACAAACTGTAACAGAGGGGTGAAGTGTTACTTTGGCACAATTTCGAGTGGTTGAACTTCATAGGTGATAGATCTTTTTTAGAATCCCTTCTTACTCCAGTGATCTTTTTGCATTCTCTTCTACTGGCTCTTTTGCCCATTTCCTAATAGATTATATACATATGATACTGCTTCTAAATGCTTTCATTTTAAGTTAGTTAATCCAGAATCAGATGAGACCAACATTTACATCTAGTGGCTTTTTACTAGCTTAAGCAAACTGGATTTGACTGTTGAAATCAGTTGACAACAGCTCAGGTTATCTGCAAGATGCATCGGCATTGGCTTGGAATCTGCCCTGTAGGCATCGGTCTCCATCCTTGTAGAGGGATGAGCAATGGAGAGTGAATTACCTATATCTCCAGTGGTCCTTCTGACTCAGCACTGAGTCATTTGATGGGGTGCCATACAGGAAGCTTACACTGTCGTTCCCTGCACTTCTTTTATGGGTAAGCAAAGAGTGCCAATCTTTGGGATTGTCATGCCAGCAATTGCTCACTCCCAGAGTGAGTGCAGCCCCACCCCATCCCTGTATGGATCAGATAGGTCAGCAATTTTCCTGGGAGCTGAATTCCCTTTCACAGCTTTCCCTTCAAGAAAAGAGCGTTGGTCACTCAGAATGAAGAGTGAATATATTCCCACAGGAAATCATATACCATATGCGCTCAACTTACACTCATCAGATGTGCCAAGGAATGAATGTGATGATGATTTTGTTCTGTTCAGGGTCATTCATGGCAGGGGAACTGCTTGGAGCTGATTTTGAACTGTTTTATGGTAAACAGCAACTTCAGCCATGAGAGGATTCTTTAGTTAAGGATTTAAAGAGACAGATCTTGGAGGAAAGTAAACACTAGTGTGTATACATCTGTGGTTTTTCCTCTTGCTGCTTTTTCCCTACCTTCTCTCCACCCTGTCCTTGTTCAGGATCACCATGGTTTGGGAGCAGACAGATAGGTCTGCTTCTGTTTGGAGCTTGTCAGAGCCAACTACTGTTTGCAGAGAGCTTGGTGGAAAGCACAGCAAGGCATTCCTTTCTGCTTTCAAGATAGCTGCTCCGCACAGCCGAGGCACTTTAAATAAGTGGGACAAACAATACAATATTCTGGCCTATATTTACAGGCCAAGAATTAGCACAGTGCATGTGAATGTACAGTGATGGGGGTGGATGGTCTGTAGAAGATAGGACGCTGAGTGAAGTTGAGGGGTTGTTTCTCTTTCTATTGTGGCAAAGAAATGAGACTTTAAGAAAAGACAGCCATAGAGGTAGGTACAGTTGTAAATTAATTCCTCTTTGATCTTCACATCATTTGGTCTATCCCACAGTAGCTGGCCACGTTTTATTTAAAGCTGTTTAGGTTTAAACAAGAACAACATATAGCTCTGGAGTTTCATGTCCTCCAGCTGTTTCGTTGTGAGTACCTTAAATAGCTCTATGAATGAATTTTTCTTGTCTGGGACCACAAGTGTGTGAAATAAGTGTTCTGCAGGCATGTAGCTTCTGCCTAAAATTTAAGGTTTTCCTGTAGACTGTAGCAGCCTTGTATAGATGAACAGCCCATTGAGCAGGCAAAAGGGTTGGTGCTATGTCACTGCCTGGCACTACATTTCCTCAGGACTACAGCTTTTCCTGTTTAGGCCTTTCCCTGAGTAAGTACTGATCACTCTCCTGATGCCTGCCTGGGTTCCAGGGCAGCTCGAGCCCCTGGGTCTTCACCTCGACAGGGTCTTCAACAAGTATTGCTGCCTTGACAAGAGAGCAAGAGGATCGTTAAAGAGGATCAGAGCAAATGGAGTGAACAAACAGGCAAGCCACACATAGGCAGCTACTTGCTTCAGTTGTTGACATGTACCCAGCAGTTTCCTTCTCTTAACATCCAAGGCTTCCAACAAAAAGCACTGAAATTTGATCTTTGTTTTTCAGATAAAAAACACTTAGTCACTGCGCTCTGGTGGTATTTTCCTCTTTGTCAGTAATTTCCCAAGTCAAAATTGATGGCCTTAGCTAAGCTGAAAGTTTGCACTGTTTATGTCAAGCATTTCATTTTGTGAGGGGATTGTTAGTACGTGAAGACATTGACCTAGAGCCATGATTTATCTACCCCCTAGTGTTAAGAATCACAGCTGGGGAAGTATGATCATGCAAAAGTGATGCTAGAAGTTGTCCTACTGAAGAAATGGAAGTGCTTATATGGGACAACCCATCAGCAGACAGCAGAGACTAAATAAAATAAGACGAAAAAATGCTTATGAAGATGTTGCATGCTCTTAAAATCAAGGCAGGAATGGAATTTAGCTAGTGTTTCACAACGAGCTTCCTACCAGTGGGATTTTTTAGGTAACTCAGTCCGTATTTCAGACTAAGATATTCTCTACCTTGACCCAAGCCTCTACCATCTAAAACTTACTACCCAATATTTTCCTGGAGACATTTTCCCTTTTTATCTCTGTCCTCTACCTTACAGTGCTCATCATGGTACAATAACAGGAACCACATGTAGAGACATGAATGTCAGGAGATAAGTTTCAAAGCATTTGCACAGAAACACGGTTAGTACAGCTGAATCAGATCTTACTTTCTTCATGTGTGTTCCAGTCCAGCTTCTCAAAATTGGATTTCTCTTAACACGTTCCCCCAGTAATTACCTTTGCACGGTGGTGGAGGAAGATTGTTTTCACGGTACTGATTTCATTGTGTATAGAAATAACTGTCTGCATTTATATGGCATTTTTCTGGGCATCTGTAGGTCACACAAAGAAAAACATTTCCAAGCTGATAGCAATACTCAGTAAGCTCAGCTAGCAGTTTGACAGTTAGATCCTACATTTTGATCACAATATAGACAATCTGTTTTTGTTTTTTTCTCCACAGATAGCTTTGTCCAGAGACCTTCAAGACCATCCACAGAAACAGTCCACCACAATCCCCCAACCATTGAACTGTTGCATCGTTCTAGATCACCCATCACCAACAACCACCGTCCATCACCAGATCCCGACCAGCGGCCACTGAAGTCCCCTATGGACAACACTATCCGTCGCCTCTCCCCAGCCGACAGGGTGCCGGGGACAAGGCATCAGCAAGAGAACAACCACCAGGAGCCCTATCCTCTCTCAGTGTCCCCGATAGAAAATAACCACTGCCCACCTCCTTCTGATGTGCTCCAGAAGCCCTCCAGCCCTCGCCAGGAGAACACCAGGGTCATCCAGCTGATGCCCAGCCCTATCATGCATCCTTTGATACTGAACCCCAGGCACTCCGATTTCAAACCACCAAGGTTGTCCGAGGATGGGCTGCACAGGGAGGTAAAGCCAATCAACCTGTCCCACCGAGAAGAGTTAGCTTATATGAACCACATCATGGTGTCTGTATCCCCTCCTGAGGACCATGCAATGCCAATTGGAAGAATCGCAGGTAAGTGACATTCTCTAAGTTACACCAAAGTTGACGCTCTTCATTCATAACTAATTATGCTGTGTATTAAGAGCTTTGCATTTCCTTTTGCTGCTCTGTGACCTCAAGAGTTTACTGGCATTCTGCGAGCTTCACCACATCTGTGGTTTAGACAGTTAAATATGATTAAACCAGTTTCATGGCAGGTAAGCAAACGTGCAGAGTGACTTGTTTGCGACCACAGAATGCGTAATTGGTACTGAAACATTCATGTCCTGACACTCACTGCCTCTCTACCCACTAGCAATCCACTTATTTCCCAAGATGCCTATCTCCAAAGCGTCGTCCTGCAAAAAGGTAATTTTCAAACAGTTGTATTCACTGTAGTGTCCAGTCCTACGGAAGGGAAAAAACCTTCTGTCAGTGACCTTTGACATAATGCAGTGTCAAGCCCACTATTATGGAGATGGCGGGACTAATGAAATATCACCTTAGAGTCCTACTTCATAGGCTTTCCTGTGCTTCTCACACTAGGATTGTCCCTTTTTACAGAAACAAGGCTGCCTTTGTCCCACGCAAACCACAGGCATTGTCTCACTTTTGTTATCGTAAATAACTGACATCACAACAGCTGAATCAGGAAGCTGAGGTTACAGAAAATATTTTTTGTACTTGAAAGGGAACTGTAAATTGATAGGGAGAGGGGAAAGGGGAATCCAACCACTTCAGAAATATGCTGAATGCCCCAGTAACCAATTTCTTTTGAGAGATGTAAATACACACCACACCCAAAAACATTCCATGCATTTATGTCAGCAGCGAGCTAATGTGATACCCAGGTCCTGTGGGGTATTACACATGTCCACAGAGGTACATTTTAAACCACCTTATTCTTTTTTGTCCTTGCATGCCTTAATTTTTTTACAGATGTGGTGCTGCCTCAGCTTTAATGAGGAAGATTTGCTATTTTCTTAAGACTTACCACTTTAAATTCAATTCAAGAGGTACATATATCACCATCTAGTCAAACAACAAGCACAACAAGGTCCATGATCCTTTCACGTAGTAGAGAGATGGGTTACAGAAATTTTCTGACATTTTTGCCTGGCTGACATTTGTCTCTCTCCTTTTGATTTTAATTACCCACACTATTCTCAGCAAGTTAAGAAATACATTTAATGTTATGGCAGAGAAGATTTCCTACTGGTTGCATCACTGGAGATTTTCTTTACATAAATTACTATTGGAAGATCAGGGGGGTTGTTAATTTTTATTTTTCAGAAGGAAACAGTCTCTAAAAATGAAGCCTAGACTGAAAAGAATATAAGAAAAAATATGGGGAGCAGGTGGTAGTGTAATTTTTTTAAATTTAAACCCAAGAGTTTTCTTAGATAATTGGGAATCTTTGGTTTCTGCACGTTGTGCATGGGGTCCAGCAACACCAGTCCTGTAACTAGTACTCCCACATCCTTCCTATCCCTGCATTCTTTGCAGGGCAACAGAGCCTAAGCCTGTGGATATTTGGGCCTAACAGAGTTGCTTGGCAAATCTGTGTAGCAGTTTAAAGTGTTATACACAGGCTATATTTGCATGCTTAGCTGCTTTCGCTTGCAGTCTTGTGGCTTTGCTTAGACCCACCAGCATAGGTGGCATACCTTAAGGAGCTGGTGAAGTATTTCATGCCAAAAAGACTTGAGGTGTACTCAAGCATTCAGTTCAGATGAGGGCAGCGCTTTATAGCCTAGAGTTGGGGGATTATGTAGCTGGCAGTTGCTAGCATCTTAGATTTCTACTGATAAATTTACCAGTGCACTTCCATCAGTACCCCATGTCCTTTAATTGTAAACACCTACAAGCCTCACTTGCTGTACCGGCACAAGATAGTGCTATTCTGGTTGGGTTGTAATGGCTCCTGAACTGTAGCTGGCCCCTCTAAAGGGCTCACAGCCAATTTAAAGGTGACAAAACCCAGCTTACTACCAAAAATGTAGACAGCTTGTGTTTCATACCTGAAGTCAACTTCATTGGTGCTATTGAATTCAATGGCAGCCTACTTAGGCTCCCTAGAAAGAAAGGACACACCTTTCTACCTGCTTCCCCCTGTCTCACAGTCTTCAATTTAGAGCTTTTGCCATTAAGTGATTTCAGTTTGAGAGAGTTTCTTTTTTATGTGAGCATATATGTATTTTCCACCTGAGTGTTCTTACACTGACACTGCTATAGTTAACATGAAGACTTCTGAACAATGGCTTGCCACTGCGAATTGAGACACACCATGAAAATTATAACTCTTGACTCTTAAGCTGCAAATATACATCAATACAGATGTATTGTTAAAAAGAGCTTTTTAAAAATCACTGGCATAATTTCCATTTTCTGGATGAGGAAGACTGATGGGTTGGGTAATGAAAAGATTTACCAATAGTCCAGTGTCAGAACTAAGTGCTTATCTGTTTACACTGGTGAGAAGAGATCCTTGACTTTCTACTGGTTTAACCATTTGTGTGCAGGTGATTTTCAGAGGAGATAGCAATGAGGAGCAGCTGCCAGGGAAGCCCCATGGGCTGCTGACTAAAACACTGGGCTGAGTTCCAAAACATGTTCTATTCCCAGGTCAGATCTTTTAAATTGTAAAAGGAATTCTTCCTAAACATAAGATACCTCACAGCCTCATAAACGTGTTTACTTGTAGATAGAGTCTGTTTTTAAATGCAGCATGCAATTACTTGGTGTTGAGAAAGAAAACGTTTTTGCTTGCTGCTATCCACAAATACTCTGTTTTCAGGAGGTCAATCAATAGAGCTCTGGACTTCCTGTCAGACAAAAAAATGACCTCTACTCACCAGCTGACTAATCTTTCCTACCTTTTTATGTAATATCACTTCTCAAAATATTAATTTTACTGGTAAAGCACTTTCCCTTTTACAGCAAAGAATTTCAAGTTGAAGGTCTTATTCTCTTTTCCTCTAAGGCCATTTTACACTTTCCTAGCAAAGCAAGAGGCATAAAGTATCTTTATGTTACTCATTAAGGTCCCATATATTATTCATCAATGGCTAGAGTTGATTTTAAAAATTATGTTTAGCTGTCTTCTCAACACAATATGCACAAGTCTTTTCCATAACTTCATCAGAACTAGAGGTCATTGTGTTGGAATGATCCAAAGGCAGATTTGCATCCCTTGTAAATACACCAGGCATAGGTTAAGCTAATGTAACTCAGGCATCAATAGTCATCTAGCTACGACAGCACTTAAAAATATTAAAAATACCTCAGAAGGGCACTTTAGTAGACCAGTGTAATGGACAATTTTCACTACTGGAACTGCTAATTCAAAGCAGCAACAGTGTTTGTTGGTAGTCCACTCCTAACTCTAGCAAGCAGGCAGACTATCTGGCTTACCTCTGAATTTTTTTAATAGTCTGTATTGGTTCCCCCCAAATAGTCTCCAAGAATTTCCTCTGGGGGGAAAAAGACTGTACTTTTCTTGTCGTCTTTTTTTTTTTTTTTTTAATGCAGTTGCAGTTTTAATCAAGAGAGGTGTCTGAAATTAGCCATTCTGCAGAATGGAAATTCCACTCCTCATACACCTCTGACTGGGAGGGTTTTGTTATCAAACATTTTAGGACTTTGATATCTCATAAAAGGTACTTCCCCGAGATACAAGGAGAGGCAGGGGTTATTGCATTGGCAGGCGTTCATAGCGCGTCATGGCTGAGGTATGCACTGCAGCCCTAGTGGAACCAGAGACCCCAGAAACCCTCCCTGCAGCCATCCTGAAGTTCTGCCCCCGTGGCTTTCCTTGGGAGATCCACCGTTAACTTCAATCAGGGCAGGTTTTCACCACAGAACTTTATTTAGGAGTCAAATATGTCCTTTTTTCAGGTATTGAGGTCCAGCTCAACTTCTTAGCATGAATCATAGAATCATAGAATAGTTCAGGTTGGAAAGGACCTTAAAGATCACCGAGTTCCAACCCCCCTGCCATGGGCAGGGACACCTCCCACTAGACCAGGTTGCCCAAGGCCACGTCCAGCCTGGCCTTGAACACCTCCAGGGATGGGGCCTCAACAACCTCTCTGGGCAACCTGTGCCAGTGCCTTACAACCCTCAAAGTGAGAAACTTCTTCCTAATGTTTAATCTAAACCTGCCCTCTTCCAGTTTATATCCATTCCCCCTCGTCCTGTCACTACATGCCCTAGTAAAAAGTCCTTCCCCAGCTCACCAGAAACCTGTTGGTTGCCTAAAGACACAGCAATTCCTGCAAGAGACAGTTATGGGATTATCTGACTACAACAGGCCTGATTTCATCCTAATTTTTATCACATAGAGGTTGGCTTAGAAACATCCAAATTCACCTCACTTTTGATTCAGTCACTTAAAATTTGCTAATACAATTCTGGATGTTTCCTGTGAGGGGAAATATATTGCTGAGAGGGTTCCTGAGGTTTCCAGCTCCCAGTGTCTTTTTCTGTACTAGCTCTGTGGGACTGAAAGGCTTGTTCACTAATCATCGGCAAATGCTGGCTATGAAACTTTGGGATACAGGTAACCCTTTACTCAAGCACTGCTCAGTACAGATACTAACCAAACAACTGCACGGGTGTGAACGTCAGGTGCCGGAGAGCAGTGGTAGGTGCAGCTGGACTCCCCCCAAGGACTTCCTGTCCTGTTGGAATTGGGACCCAATAAAATCCATTAAGCTCTGGGTTCACTCTGTGCATGTCTGAGGCAGACCTATCCTGTTTGTACAAGCAGCTTGGAAGGATGAGTATTGCTGTTTCTCTGCAGAGCTCCACCCTGCCCATTGCTTTTGATTCTGCTCTGCATTTGGTGGGGGAAGAAGTCTAAAGGCAGGTGAGTCTTGAGCCTGTTGTTGTCTATTAGTATGCTGTTCTTATCAGCTGGGTTACCTTAGCAACTGGGCTGTATTGGACTTTATGAGCTGCCAGATCTGTTTCTTCCCCTTCAGGAGTCTGAGGAAAAGCCAGGTAATGTTTAAACTGTTCAGAGGCAGGTT